AGGGGCAGGGGCAGGGGCAGGGGCAGGGGCAGGGGCAGGGGCAGGGGCAGGGGTAGGGGCAGGGGTCAGGAACAGGTAATTCCCAGTGAAATCAAGGCCATCCTGGTCTATACAGTGAATTTCTAACTTGGTGGGACCCTGGAAAGACAGTGGGGGAGGGGCAACAGGAGAGGGAGGGGGCCGGGCAGTAGTGGCGCACGCCTTTAATCCCAGCACTTGGGAGGCAGAGGCAGGCGGATTTCTGAGTTCGAGGCCAGCCTGGTCTACAGAGTGAGTTCCAGGACAGCCAGGGCTACACAAAGAAACCCTGTCTCGAAAATCCAAAAAAAAAAAAGAAGGAGGGAGGGACTGAGCATGAATTGTATCACTACTTATGTCACATACTGATAACATAAATGAGATAAAGCACGGATCTGGGCTGGGACAGGGACATTCCAGATGTGGTGAAGGGCGGAGGCTGGAGTATGAGTATAGTTGATATTCTGGGTGGACACTCCTTCCTTAGAGCTGTGTGTAGTTGATATACTGGGTGGACACTCCTTCCTCAGAGCTGTGTGTTTGTGTGTGTGTGTGTAGTTGATATACTGGGTGGACTCTCCTTCCTTAGAGCTCTGTGTGTGTGTGTGTGTGTGCGTGTGTGTAGTTGTTATACTGGGTGGACTCTCCTTCCTTAGAGCTCTCTCTCTGTGTGTGTGTGTGTGTATGTGTGTGTGTCACAATGTGTGTATACCGGTATCCTTGCCAGCCAGAGAGGATGCCTCATTTGACTGATATGGATGTCAGAACTGAACTCTGGTTCTTTGTTCTGGATTTTTGAAACAGGTTTCTCTGTGTAGGCCTGGCTGTCCTTCAACTCTCTGTAAACCAGGCAGTCCTTGAACTCAGAGATCCCCCTGTGTCTGCCTTCCAAATGCTGGGTTAAAGTCGTGCACCACCACTGCCTGTTGGGCTAAGATAGGTGCTTCTTAAAGTGTGATCTTTTAATGTCAGCACCAGCAGCCTGTTAGAAATGGAAAATTTTGGAACCATTCCAAGACTTCTAAAGCAACATACAACTAATAGTCAGTTTTAAAATAAACCCTCCAGGGACTGGAGAGATGACTCGGCAGTTTCGAGCACTTGCTGCTCTTACAGAGGATCTGAGCTAAGTTCCCAGCACCCACGTGGTGGCTTACAACCGTCTGTAACTCCTGGCTCAAGGGACTATGCCACCCTCCTCTGAGTTCTTTGAGCAGTGCTTCCATGTGGAGCACATTCGGACATGCAGGAAAACACTTGCATGAAATCAGATTAACCTAAAAGAGTTAAATAAGCTCTCCAAAGGTTTGTACAATGTACGTGAAGGTTTGAGCGGCCCTAGGGTTGGAGTCAGGTGAGAGTCAAAAGACTAGGGTGGAGAGCTGGCCAGGGGCCAGCTGACAGAAGGCCGTGCGGCCTGTTGTAAGGACTTCGGCTGCTTGTGAGTTGGGGCCCATCGGAAGGCTTTGAGCAGAGGAGTGGTGTGAGCTCATAGACATCTTTAACAGAGTGTCGTGTTGTTGGGGCAAAGAGACCAGTCTGCCGCTGTGAATTAGGATAAAGACGGTGCTGACTTAGATTATTAGTGGATGTGGCGAAGTTGCTGGGATCTAGAACGAGTTGCCAGAGAATGACAGACCTGGGTGATGGAGTTACAGAGGTGGAGAGTAGTGCCCTCCGAGATTGGAGGTAAATGCTCGTTACCGTGAAAGGGTAAAATGACAGGGTAGGAGGTGGGAAAGCAATAGCTCGTGGTACTGAGCTGCGTGCATGGTCATTACCCAGAGGGCCAGATCTCCAGAGTGTGTGGCTGAGCGTGTACATCCTAATTCACTGGCAGTAATGCAGGTCCAAGTCGGTGACTTGTTAGGAGCACCCGAGCCTCACCGATTCTCGGCACCCTGCCACGCTCTCCACTCCGCCTGCTCCCTCACGGACATTGTTGCTTTGTGTCCTTTCTTCTTATTTGCTTCTTTTCATAATTAGAGGGTTTTAAAATATGTAATCAATAAATAATTACATATTTCCCGTTTCCTTTTTCTTCCCTCTACCCTCTGACGTCTGTCCCGTTCATGCCTTCTCCCAGATTCATGGCCTCCTCTCCTCTAACCCTGGTCATTACATATACATATAAACAGATGCAGAAACACAACCTACTGAAGCCCTTCAGTGCCGCCTGGATGTGCATGCTTCTAGGGCTGACAACTTGGTACTACAGAACTACTCAAGAGACTCGTCCCTGGGAAAGACTCATCTCCTCTCTCAGCAGTTACCTGCCTGTATCTCTTCATCTAGGAGTGCATCCCCATGAGACCTCCCCCATCTACACTGGGATGGCAGCTGGTATTAGAATTGCTCTGGTCTTGTTTAGGCAGCCAGGTTGTTGAGATCTCAGGGGTGTAGCTTCCCTGTCATGGCTACAAGACATGGTCTCACAGCAGACACCGTGGTCCCTTGGTTCTTGTAATCTTTTCACCTCCTCCTTTTCTTTCTTTTTTTTTTTTGTTTGTTTTTTTTTTCGAGACAGGGTTTCTCTGTGTAGCCCAGGCTGTCCTAGAACTCACTCTGTAGACCAGGCTGGCCTTGAACTCAGAAATCCACCTGCCTCTGCCTCCCAAGTGCTGGGATTAAAGGCATTCGTCACCACTGCCCGGCTCACCTCCTCTTTTTTGACGGTCCATGAGCCCTTAGTGTAGGAGTATCAACTGGGGCTGGGTGTCCATGGTCAGCTGCTGTCTGCATTTTGAACAGTGGTAGTTTTCTATAATGGTCTCTGCTGCTAAATTATCTTTTTATTTATGTACATGTATGTCTGTGTACCATGAGTGTGCCTGGTAAGGCAGAGACCAGAAGAGGGCATTGAATTCCCTGGAACTGCAAGTATAGACAGTTGTGAGCTGCGGCATAGGTGCTGGGAACTGAACCCTTGTCCCCAGGAAGAGCAACAGTCCTCTTAACCGTTGAGCCATCTCTCCATCGCAGGATAAAAGAATCTTCTTTGATGAGGGCTGAGGTCTACCTACACTTACCTGTGGCTAGAAGGGTACCATTTAGAGTGCAGTTAGGAATTATACTGACTGAGGAAAGTGTCAGCCGTAGGTTCTTCTCTAAGGCCTATGACCTCATCAGCTGCATGTTGCTCTGTGGGCTTGTGGTAATGTGAGGGTAGAAAAGTGAAGTGGGTGGCGGGATGATTGGAGAAACAGGGTAGGTACTGGGGCGGGGAAGAGAGCCATGTGAACTTGACAAGGGAATGTCTCCATGCCCACTGTTTCTGTCTGTCTTCCAGAAATCATGCCCCCTACCCATTTACTAGTGCCTTCCCAATGTTAAGTAAGTCCCGTCACACAGTTAACTGAATGTTTGTCTGGACAGGAGTTGTGGAATGTAGCTCCCTCCTGGGAAGAGGTCCGCAGTGATGGTACTCAGTGAATGTGGCCCAGATCCCTAAGTCAGTACTCTCTGCACTCTGCCGGCCTTGGTCTGCGTGGACCTTGGAGCATGGGAGCCTCTGCTGCTTATTAACAGCCGAGGAGGCTTTATGTGCAAGGCTTCCTCTGGAGTCGTTGTAGGTTGTTAACTATAGCTATTGACATCTAATGGTTACTGAAATTGCAGCACTAATCTTTGCCTGCCTCTGGAGCGCTAACTCTGAGGGAGATTCACTCTTTAACTGTTGCTCTCTCGAGTGGAGCTCCAGATCGCTTGAGCTACAAGCATGATTGAATCGAGTTATGGTCAGGTTTAGTAAATACGAGTATACAGACAGCATGACTACTTGTTCTAAAGCACCGAGAAACCTCAGTGTTTGCATTTGCCAGATTCTTTGAACCTCAAGTCCAGAGGGAGATTGTAGAATAGAATATGTTTTCTAACTTGAATAGATGCCATCTTGATGTGACACTTACCCGCTGCTCTGCTGCTACTGAGATGTGACACTTACCCGCTGCTCTGCTGCTACTGAGACAGCTCTAGTTCATCCGTGGTTAAGTTTACCTGCAAACAACAATGTCCTGTGTTTCTGTGGAGCTGGATATTGAGCTAGGGCCTGGCATGTGCTATAAACCCTCTACTTGCCCTTGTGAAAAAAAATTTAATAGCTTTAAAACATTTAGTGTATTGTGTGAGCATGCACCTACCAGGTATGTGTATGTGTGAGCACACACATACCACGTGGGTGTGAGGTCAGGACAGCTTGCTGGAGTTGTTCCCATCTTCACTGTGTGCCTTCCAGGTATCAAACTCACGTTGCCAGACTTGAACTGTGAGCGCCTTCACCACTGACCCATATTGCAGGCTGCAGATGGTTTTATCACATTTGAAAATCTCCCATGAGTAGATGAAGAAGAAAGTCTAACTCAACGTGATATATTTATAAATTTCGTGCGTGCGTGTATGTATTGCTAATGATTGTCCATTGCTTTCCAAATTATGACATTAGAAAAACTTGACACATTTGGATGATTTTTTTTCTTTTTCTTTTTCTTTTTTTTTTTGGTTTTTCAAGACAGGGTTTCTCTGTGTAGTCCTGGCTGTCCTGGAACTCACTCTGTAGACCAGGCTAGCCTTGAACTCAGAAATCTGCCTGACTCTGCCTCCCAAGTGCTGGGATTAAAGGTCTGTGCCACCACCGCCCGGCTGATTTTTTTTTTTTAAATCTTGAGTAGTTGAGAAAGAAAATGATCTGGATTGCAAAGCAGAAGAATATGTGAATTCTAATCTTGTTTTGGAAAGTGTCGCTCCATTTACCAGAAAGCTGTAAATACGTTTTGATATTTGGAGGTGTACACTGAAGTCTGTGAACTGACTGAACCCTTACTGCTGAGAATCTCACTCATGACGCAAACGTGAGTGATTTGTTTATATATACTCTTTGGCAGTAACTCTTTGGATTAAATCAGTTTTATGCCATGGAATTAGGTTCCAACAGCTCAGAATTATACCACTGTTTCTACTGGGCCTCCGTATACCAAACTTGGTGTGAGGATGACAGTTGGTAATGTAGTTACACTGTCTTCCAGCAGATGGACGACTGTAACTTGTCACCTAAGAACCGATTTTCTCATCTTGGCCAGGCGGGATGTCATGTAGCAGGCCGGTGATGAGTTGGGAATTGTTCTGAGCACAGGCTGCACATCGCAGATTTATTACTAATGGTGTGTTTGTACTTTAAGACTTTATGTTCTGTTTAAATAAAACAGACAACAGATTGGAACATAAAAGTATCCTCTTCACAGGTAAATGTCGGGAAGATGGACTCCCCCATTGAGAAGTGGAATCTCGTCATTGGCAACTTGGCTTTAAAGCAGGTAAGTGGCGTGTGCTTATTTACAGAGCTTGGATGTGAAATTTACCATTCAAATATCCAAGTAATAACTTAGTACCCCCAAAAGTTAATGGAATCAATTAATACCCATGGCCTTTGAAAGTTACTTTATTTCTAGAAGCTAATTAACTTCTTCCAAATGTAAAAAAAAAGAATACAAATACTGAAAGACATAAAAAAACTATAACTGTAATAGAGCTAGCCTTTATATTGATATTTATACAAATATTTAAGACTTTGTTGTTTAAGTACTGTCTTAATTATTGTTCTATTGCTATGAAGAAACACCATGACCAACTCTTACAAAAGAAAGTGTTTAACTGGGGGCTTGCTTACAGTTTAGAGTCTGATTATTACAGCTGGAAGCAAACAGGCATGGCACTTGAGCAGTAGCTGAGAGCTTTACATCCTGATCAGCAGCAAGCAGTGAGAGACAGACAGACAGACAGAGTCCTCTCCCAGTGACACACCTCCTCCAGCAAGTCTCACCTCCCCTTCCTAATCCTTCCCAAACAGTTCCACTCACTGGTGACTAAGCATCAAATACATGAGCCTGCGGGCATGGGGGCATTCCCACCTAAGCCATCACACATGCTATTTCTCTGCTTTCATTTACAACTCTACTTTTCTATTATGATTATAATGGTGTAAACAGGATCTCATGTATCCCAGGCTGGCCTTAAACTTTTTATGTAAGTGAGGGTGACCTTGAACTTCTGGTCCCCCACTGCCTCGGCAGTGTGAAAACTACAGATGGGCACCAGCAGTTTATGTGGTTTATGTGGTGACTGGGATTAAACCCATTTTTTGTTTTGTTGTTGTTGTTTTGTGCATGTCAACTGAGCACTCTTCCAACTGACCCCCATCTCTCTCCCTGTCTTTTTGAGTTTTGAGGCAGCCTTCCAGTGTTGCTCAGGATGGCCTTACACTCAGACAGAATCCCCCTACCTCAGCCTTTCAGGCACGATCATCAGGCCCTGCTTTTTGTTTTTTGTTTGTTTGTATTTATTTTAATTTTAGATTTTTGAGGTGATATCTGTGTTTCTTGGTCTGATCTCAAACTCCTGTGTTCAAATGAATCTTCCTGGGTCTACAGGAACCAATACAAAGACTGCCTTTCTTTAATTTTTCTAAATTAATATTAGGAATAAGAAACTAGCATTAATTTCTCCAAGAAATTAAATTAGAAATTCTAACTATTAATTGTGTAATTAACCTGAGCTCCTTTCTGATATTGTGCTCACCTGTTTGTTTATGCTGATTTTTCTTTCTTACTGTTATCATTAATATTAATAAACCAACTCAAATACCAATGACATATGTACTGGGCCAGGAATTCTATATCATCTATGGCTCTTTCTCATCTAAGGTGTCTCTTCTTCCTTGTATCTACTCTTCCCCAACTCTTTTTTTTTAGGTTTTTCGGGACAGGGTTTCTCTTGTAGCCCTGGCTGTCCTGGAACTCACTCTGTAGACCAGGCTGGCCTCGAACTCAGAAATCCGCCTGCCTCTGCCTCCCAAGTGCTGGGATTAAAGGCATGCGCCACCACCGCCCGGCAGTTCCCCAACTCTTAAATCAGAGATTTCATCTATTATGAGTAACTCTTTAGCTAGTATGAGCACCAGGAATATACACTAATTTTAGTGTTACTCAGCTAGGCCATAAGGTTGAGAACCTGGTTGTGGGAATATAGTTTTGTGCATTGCATCTCAGGGACAAAGGGGTTCCTGGAACTAAAAGCCCAGCTATAAGCTCAGCTCTAATGTCACCCAGCTGTAGAGCCTCTGTTAGTTCATATAACCTTCCTGGGCTTCATTTTGTCTTTTCAGTCATAGTATTTTCTTAGAAAACTCTAAGAACCTTTCAGCTTGACCTTGTAGAAATCTAAGCAGAAGTGGTAGAAACATTTACAAACAGGGATGGCCATCAGTGGGAGAGAACTTGCCAAACATACAGAATGTTCCTGTAACAACAGCAAAGCAAAACCAAGGCCTTCCAAATGTCTATAGATAAATAGAGCACTGTAACAAATAAAAAACTTGAGAATATATGGCTTTCAGCACTGAGCACTCTTAACCTGTCCTGGGTGACCCACACAGGTCATTG